ATGAATGCAATGCCGGCCGCGAATGTGAAGACTCGCCTTCGGGTGCAGACGTGACCCAAAAAGCATAATAACTGTCCGATTAGTAGTATTACACAACTAATCATCAGAAATATCGCCGCCCTTTTGGCCGCATCTGAACAAAATGATTGAATAATAAATATATACATCTTTTTTATAAGTGTTTGGTTTTCATTTTTTGTGTTATACAAATCCTTTAATTAAATTCTTGTCTAATAATATGTTTGTGTTTATGAATATTTAAAGCACATCAACTATTTAAGAAAATTTTTAATACCATGGCACTTTTTAATTTTCTAGTATAGTCAATTTAATATTAGCAACAAATATTAATCTAAACTAAATGTCAACAAATTATTACAGCAAATACAATGGTTAATAATTAATTTGCTAAAAATTAAATTATTTACACTGAAAATGAGAGTTATATAAACTAAATGACTAAAGCATTGCAATTCTTGTATTCTTGTTAAGTATATCTACTATTGTTTAGCAACTAATCAGAGAAATTCAATGGAATTTTGTCATTTATTTTTATTTACAAAATACATCTTAAGAATTCAATTCCTTACAGAATAAATAGTTTTCGAGGAATAAAAGTGATTTCTATTTGAGTAATACTTCAGTCATTTTCATAGAAAACTCACAGATATTTGAGAAGAAATACTAAATTATTTACAATAATAAACAAAAAATTTAATACTATTTACTGAATCTCAAAAACATATTTGAATTTTTTGAATATTATTTTTTGAAAATAAAATTCAATTTCTTTTCGTTTAGAGAAAACTTTTTGTGGTTAAATGGAAAGTGAAAATCAAAAATAAGATAATAAAATAATATTTCACAGATTTGAGAGAAAATTATTTTTTAAATTAGAGTTAAAGTCATGTGAAGAGAGAGAGAGAGAGAGAGAGAGAGAGAGAGTCGTATGATTTAATATTTTTTAAAAATGTGATTTATTTCTATGTAATGTAATTTAATACCTTTAAGAAAATTGAATTCTTAATGTATACAGTAATATAAAAACATTTGCATTGAATGGTAAATAATTATTTCACTATTTAAACTTAATGATGTAAGAAAACATCCATTAGTGTTATGTAAATATGATTAATAATGATGCTTGCTCACATGGTATGGCCATCGTTGAGTCGTTGGGGTCGGGACTGTACTCCTCTTTAGAGAAGTAGTCGATTACAAGGCAACGCATCAGTGTCTGAGGGGCTGTCCGTCGGAAATAAATTGATTATTAGTTTAAAAAAATTAAAAAACGTAAAGTAACGTGAAATTAAAAATTAAAATTATGTGTAAACACCAAAATACACTATAAAATGCCGTTGAATGAAAATTATAAATTCTATGCATAAATAAAATGCAAGAATATTTGGATTGCTTGGAGGCATAGGGCTTACGGTCGTTATGGCAGAGCTGCCAGAGGCCGGAGACAGTGATCTTCTCGTGGAACTCCTTCTGATCAGTGATCGTAAACTTTTGATACAAACTGTTGGGCATGTATTCAATGGTGTGAAGCCATTCATTAGATAGTATAGCGATTGCTGTCGAGACGGATGAAGATATGGCTGATAGTGGTGTAAGTAATCTGTGGTTCAATGCAAACAAATTCACCGTTAAATGAGTTCATTATACAGATACAGTATATGAATAAAATAATTGTAACTATATTTAATACAGTATTATTAAAAGCACATAACAGTGTTGCTCTAAAATAATTATTGTTTAGTTATATAGTTAGTTATTATATTATTTTGTTGTATTTTATTTTATTACTACAGTAATTGTGTTTAAGAATAATATCTTGTATTAAATTTATATATTTGATTATTACTGTATTAAATAAACAAAGAATTGAATGATAGAAATAATTATAAATATAGTGTTTAAAGGACATGGATGAGTGTTAGTATGCACACCTTAATATGCGAATGGATCGCACGGACATAATGTGACCAAAAATAATTTCAATTGAAATGAATTGCTTTTATTCCGGTTATCAATTGCATTGAGTGTTGAAATGTGCCCCAGATCAATTTAAATTATCGGTAGAAAATGTTGAGTTTGGTCCGTGTCTTGTAATGAAGGCCGGGATGTCGATTGTATGGTTAGGCCTACACTCGCCAACAGATGCTGCATATATTAGACAATATATTTTCACTATTGGTGAAAGGGCTGGTAGTTATGGTTGTGGGCATACATCTCACAGACAATACATTATAATTTAGTGATTACAAGCACTCAAATGACAACACTTTTGCCATCAAAACACATATTATTATCATAAATATTATTCAAACAAATTTTGCAATTAATTTATCGACAAAATCAATAAATTGTTAGTTATATTACATTAGAGTTTAGACATTGATGTCATTATATTTATCTCTAATATATGACAAGAAATATCTCTTATAGTGAATACAAATAATTATAAAATTTCCAAACATTAGAGAAACTTTAGATTTAAAATTCCTATTAACACTAAAACATATGATTAGCTAAACAACACATTAGAATAAAAACATTTCAGTAAATACTGACTGATTGCCAAAACTGAAGAATCATTTTATTATTTATGTCTAAAAAGAGTCCATTCTTTAGATCACATCGTATATGAGAAAAAGATGAAGAATTTAATCAACAAAAGCACAGAATCCCTGTCCTCTCGCTCACTCTTATTGTGAGTTTTGATACAAACATTAATACAAAAGTCAAGACAACGATCACTGCCATCCATTTGCTATGAGTTGAATAGAGTTTTTAGAGCTACACATCCCTATCAGTCTCGCAATGTATGCCTTTCCTAGGGTTCATCTCCACTCATAAGCACTGGTAGAGCACAGCTTCCCTATTCTCAAGTGTTAGTCATGTTTGGTGTGAGAGTGAGTGCACTCCACACATGCATTGCATTGCGACTGACTATAGGTCTACAGAATATTCTTATTCTTATAATCGATAATATGTTTACCCTTTTGCGAAACAAGTTGTCACTCCTCTCTCTCTTTCTCTCTCTCTCTCTCTCTCTCTCTCTCTCTCGTGGGAAGAGTTGGCGGGAAAAGTTATTTTCTTGTAAGTCAAACACACAATATTACGGTATGTGATATACTCACAACCTAACTTAAACTCATATTTTTGCTATTTTATATATTTTAAGGATATTTTAAAAATATAGTTTATAAAAACTAAAATCATTGACAATGATTCATTGTAAATCAACAAGTTAATTTATTAATTTTACAAATTATTACAAAGAATCATAACTTTTTTAATCAAAATATCTAAACATGTATCTCATTTAAACTCTCTCATAATTAAAACACACAATTGGTTTGCATTTTTAAAATTGTTTATTAAAAACTACTAAAAACATTACATTAAATTAATCCAAAAATTTGTTTTAAAAAAATATTTTATAAAATAATTTAATTTTAATGTTATCTAGCAAAACAAAAAGTTTATATAAACCAAGTTTATATCATAGTGTATGATTATACTACTACTGTATTACAAAATAATCTAATTGAGTGAGCATGGTAATGATGGAAGTCCAACACATCTTACAGATTATAGTGAGTCTGACAAAGTGTTTGCACTTCAAAGGCATTCAAAACCATTTCTCTAGTCTTGTGACCGACTTTCTGAACA